ATTCATAGTGGGATGGAGTACTTATAGCAGATGGAATGCTTGACTCCTTTTTGTGTTGGATGCTTGTAAAGCATGTTCCCCCCTCTCTCTGCCTGTCAGCATGTGCACACAGGTGAAGGGAGTCCTTTGCAGGATGACAGAAAGTGCTGGACAGAATTGTTATCTTTTAGAAGGACCCTCAAGTTACAAATGTGGGGGCAGGTTTGGCTCTCCCTGCAGTCCCTAAGGTCCTGCAAGTGATTTCAGTGGGGACACAACTGAATATCTACTGTTAGAAAGTCTGAAGCTTAAAAGAAGGAAAACATGGACTGATCTTGCATTTTATGTGATTTTAAAAACGCCTCAAAATTAAAATAGTGTTTTTCTTCTGTTCTGGCTTGCTGGTGCCACAAGGTTTTTTTGTTTGGTGTTTGGTTTGGGTTTATGGTTTTTGTTTTTTATTTCTTTTCTGTTTTTACTTATTTGTTTCTTTTGAGATGTGGCATTGTTTCTGTTTTGTTTATTTTTATTGAAAATAGGTGCAGAGGAAAACTCAGCCCCAGCATTTGGACTGCTATCTAGTACATTTGACACTTGGAAAGATTAGAAAAATGAGGGACTCTGTGTGAATTGAAAAAAAAGAACACCAAAAAACTCAGTAAAAGAGCCCACTGACTGAGGAAGAGACTTGAAGAAAGGTTTCGAATGTAAATGTTGAGAAAAATATAATTTTCTAAATTCACTTCTAGAAATATCAGCGAGTCACAACCACCAAAAATAAGGGGACACCAAATGTCTTGAAAACACAGCAAAATCTTCATCCCTTTTGCCTCACTCCAAAAAGTCTTGGGAATGGGGCAGGGGATAATACATTATCCTTTTAAGCCTTCATTTCACTGCACTCTCAAATACACCAGTGTCATGGAAAAGAAAATCAAGTGAATAAATGTTGCAATTTATATATATTTGAATAGATAACAAGAACAATTTTACTGTTTGCCATAAATGAAAACCCCACCAAATCATTCCTCTAATTGAGGTTCTGAAGCTCTGTTTATGGCTGCAAAGTGATTTGATAAAAAAAAATTACACATTTTGAGTTATTATATCACCCAGAAATTTGATGCCACTTAACTATGTAATTTTCAGAAATGATATAAAACCACTGCAGAAAAATATTCAGGGAAGCCCAAAAGACCTCTTTTTATCTGTTTTTATGAGTCTAAAATGAGAACTCGCAGAGATCCTTGCTCTGTATGTGAAGGCTGAACTGCCACCTCGGGAGCTTTATTAATATGTATGTAAATATGATCTGGTTAGATCCTGTGTTTCTGTGCCGTTTCACAAGGTGGAGCGGCTAACTAAGCCGAACAGATCAACGCCCTGTGTTTATTTTCTTTTTTTTTTTCCCTCCCAAGCAGCAACATGCAAAGATTGAAAGAGAATGAGGACGGCAGCCTCATTTATACAAGATTGTCTCAACCTTCCTTCCTTCCTTCCTTCCTTCCTTCCTTCCTTCCTTCCTTCCTTCCTTCCTCTTCCACACCTGTATCAAAAACAATTTACTTCTAACTTAGCAAAAGCTTTTACATTAAAGACCAGAAACCAAAATGACATCACACAGAATCTGCAGCTACAATTTTTCTTCCGCTGAAAAGTTGCTTGACCAAATGGGGAGAAAGTGGAAATGCATTAGAAATATGTCCAAGTGGCACATCAAGATTATCCTCCATGAGGATATTAGGACTTCCTCTTTACACTGATGCTGATGTTATTTATGCATCTATATCCCTGCCAAATTTTTGCTAAAGGCATTGCACGACTAAAAAATAAAAAAAAAGAAGAAAATAGGAAAAAGAAAGAGAAACCTCCTAGAAGATAAGCCTCTGGGCTGAGAGTTCTCGACTCAGCATGCCTTGCTCTATATAGGATAAAGTGGAATATTTGACATCAGATGAGCTTGTTTTTCCCTATAAGGATGGTTTTTCTCTATGACAAGTCCTCAAATCCCTTACATATTATGAAAACAGAAAAGGTTATTATCTTAATACAAGATACTTAGTGCAAGACAGTGCTTTCTCTCCCCTAATTTAAAACAAGGGACCATAGTACTTTTGAAGCTAGCAAAAAGCTTGTTTTCTTCTTGCAGATTATGCTCCTATTTTGCTTGGCCTTTTTTCCTTTCTTTTAGCCATATTTTTATGTGTATGGCGGGGGGGTTAGGGTGCTTTGTTGTTGTCGTGGGGAGCTGCCGTGCAGGTTTGCGGGCCGGTGTCGGGGGCCGGAGCTCGGCCTCATGCCCAGGCCGCGGAGCGGAGGCCGGGGGGGCTCAGCCCCGGTGCCGGCGGCCCGGCACGGCCGCGCATCTCGGGACAAAGCGGGGCGATGCCGGGGCCGCGGCAGGCCGCGGAGCGGAGGCCGGGGGGCTCAGCCCCGGTGCCGGCGGCCCGGCACGGCCGCGCATCTCGGGACAAAGCGGGGCGATGCCGGGGCCGCGGCCGCCCGGGCAGCCCCCGGCACCCTGGGCCCTCTCAGGGGGCTGCTGCGGCCGGTGGGGAAGAGACAGAGGCGCGGGGCCAGCTGCAGATGGAGGCAGGTCGAGGGATAGGTCAAGGTTAGAAAGAGCCTGCTATTGATCTGGCTTTGAACGCGAGACAGGGAGAGCAGAGAGACTAAAGGGGGAGCTGTGAGACAAGACATTAACAGCTTTCAGTGCTAATGATCACAAGTGCCAGACAGGGGAGGAAAGAGAAGACTGAGAAATCACTTTGGAATTTTTTTTTCCCTCTATTGGGATGTATTTTCGGAGGAGGAGGAGGCAGGCTGGGGGTCAACCCCCGAAGCCTTGCCCGCAGCCGGAGAGACGGGAGGGGAGCTGCGGCGGCCCCGCTGCCCCGGGCAGCCGGGGAGTCCGCTGGGTCAATCATTGCCGGCCCTTATCTCCTGCTCTCGGTGCCCACTGGAAGACACTGGTTAATCAACAGATGATGCCCAGTAACTTCCCGATAAGCCGCTCTCCCAAGGGGTGCAGCTTCCTGCAGCTCGCCGAAGAGCGGCGGCGGCCGCCGGCGGCCGGACTTTGCACCCCGCAAGGGCCCGGGGCCGCAGCCCCGCGGCGTGGCCTGGGGACGGGCAGCAGCACAGCCACACAAAGCCTCTCGGCCCCGCCAGCCGCGAGCAGGGCGGCACCAAAGCGGGGAGAGCCGTGCGGGCAGCTCCATCCCCGCTGATGCCCCGGGCCCCTTCCCGCGGGGGCGGAGGTCAGCGAGGGGAGCATCTTCTCCCCTCCCGCTCCCCCGCGGATGGTGCCGCATCCTTTACCCCGCCTCGGACACGGCTGCCCCGCAGGGCAGGAGTGGGGGCTCCCCATCGGGGCCCCGAGGTCGTGGACCTGTCCCTCCCCGCCCAGCGGCGGGGCCCCTGCCATCACCACGGTCCTTTTCCTTTGCAGGACCCCGCAGAACCCTCCAAACACACAGAGGGAACAATCGCAGCAGTTTAAGCGCCGTTAATGGTCTTGGACGTGTTTGTGGAGCGCCGGCAGAGGCGGAGGGCCGGGCGCGGAGGGCAGTGCCAGGCTGGCCCGGTGCCCGCCGGCCGGGGCTGGGGTCCCCGCCGCCCTCGGCACCCGCCGGGCCGGGCTGCGGGGTCTGGCAGCGCCGGAACGCGAGCTGTGAGCGGGCGGGCGGGCGTGGGGATGGAGAGGCAGATTTGCTGGAGGAGGCGAGAGCGATGCTGTTTAGCCAAATTCTCCTCAAAGCTGATTAAGGGCACCGAGATGAATTCTGGTCCCCTCAAGAGTCTCATGCGATTTAATACGAAAACCACTCATTTAACGTGGAAAGTAAATGACACGAGTGCGGCGCGGGTCTCCAAGTGGGCTCCGGGTACAGGCTGGTGGTTCCTTGGTTTTCTGCTCCATCTGCCTCCGAGCCCCCAGGCCTCCCCTCTCCCCGATCCTCTCCCCCTGGCCAGACCTGGTGCTGAAAAGCTGTTTGCACCGAACTGTTTACTTATCGGGGGAGGAGGGAGAGAGAGAGAGAAACAATCTCAGGAGATGGGCCGGGAGAGCGGAGGTAGAGGGGAAAAAGTTGGTTTCCAAGAATCTTCCAAGTTAGAAACGCACGCAGTTGTGGGCATTTACCTGCGTGTGAAATAGAAGGACAAGTGCACTGGGATGCAGCTCCTGGGAGCTCGGCGTCTCTCCGTTCGTAGCTGAGACTTAATTTCTCCAAGGAAAAATAGTCTCTGCCAGGATTTTAAGGGAAGGGGGGTTGGGGGGTGGGAGAAGGTCGGAGCGTGTGTGCGTGTGCGGATCGGGTGTGCGCGCGTGTCCCGCTACCATCGCACTTCGGGTAGGGAGAGAGGAGGGGGAAAAAAAAATCCCTTTCCCCAGCCCACACAGATATTTGTGTTGTTGTAAAACTGTTTGAAAGAAATGCAAGGGGGAACGCGCTCGCCGCCGAGGAGCTGCGGCGGCGCCTGGAGGGAAGGAAGAGCAGCCCGCGACCCCTGGGGAGCCTCGGTTCCTGGGCACGGCCGGAGGGAGCAGGACCCATTGCCGAGCCCGGGCGGCGGAGAGCGGCGGCCGCGATGGGCAGCGGCGAGGCGGCGGCGCGGGCGGGCAGCGCGCTCGGGCGGGNNNCGCCGCCCCCCGCGCCCCCCGGGACCCCGGCACCCTCCCCAGACCGAGCCGGCCCCGCCGCGGCCGGCGCCGGGCTCGGGGAAGTTTGGCCGCGCGTGAGGATGCGGATTTATTCCTTCGCCCCTCTCTCTGCCTGGCCGGCGGCGCTCGGCGCGCTGGAAGCGGCGCTGCACAAAGCCCCGAGCGGCGGCGAGCCCTGCGTGTGCCGTAGTTGGTGTGTGTGCGGTGTGTGTGCGTGTGCGTGTGCGGTGTGTGCGGTGTGTGCGAGTGGCGTTTCTTGTTCTCTTGCAGGGTACAATGTTAAAAAGCCACCGCTAGTCGCCCCCAGTGCTCCTACTCTCTGGGTCTTTTTGTCTCTAGTGCAGATTAAACGTCACGTCCGCACTTGAACTTGAATTTTATCCCATTGTACAGAGGCAGCCCCAGCCATAGAGAGACAGAGCGCTCCCAGAGAACCAGGACTCCGCCATCTTCACATTGCAATATATAATAGTAATAGCCAGCACCAGCCCAGCTGCACTGGGGGCTTCCTTCCTTCCAGTCCCAGTGCCAGGCGAGGGGGGAAGAGTGCAAAGTGGTGCAGGAGCACTGGCAATCCAAAAGCACCAGGGCAAAGCAGTGCCACTTGAACTGGGAAAGAGGAGACACAGTTTCGGCTACCCCTTTTCAAAAATTTCTCTTTATATATCTACCCAGCAAGGGTCAATCTTTGAGAAACATTTTTTGGCGATTTTTTTTTTTTTTGAGTGGGGGCTATCCCAATTCTAGTACTTTTCTTCTTTTTTTTTAACTGCAGATTTTTTTTTCATTTTGATTTTTTCTTTTTTTTTTCTTTTTCTTTTTTTTTTTTTTTTACCCTCTTGGTGGAAAAGCGCACTTGCCAATTTGCCAAGCACTCTGGAAAGAGGGAAAGAGAAAAGTGTCACTGGCGGTGCATATCCTCCTAAGTTCAAGAAGAGATCTGGAAGTCCAAGTGGCAGAAGCAGTGGAGAAAAGACAGTGTGTGAAAGAGAAAGAGAGCGAGAAAGAGCTTTTCCTGATGATGATGATGATGATGATTTTTAATTGAGAGGGAATCCCAACCAGTGCACCACAGCAGCAACAAAAAGGAGGCGTTTTTTCCCGTTTTTGATTTTTTTGAAAGAAGAACTCGATAAAGAAGAAGAAGAATAAAGAGGGGAAAAAAAAGAGGAGGAGGATCGGCCCCCCAACACATCCCCCCAAACCAGTGCAGCTCTCCAGGCGATGCCAGTGTAAATGCCAGGGCAATGTCCCGTCGCAAGCAGGGAAACCCGCAGCACTTGTCACAAAGAGAGATTATCACACGTAAGTTTGAACTTGGAACCAGACCGAGCCGAAATCGAGAAGCAAAATTAGGGAAGGGGAGGAAGCGGTTGGGGAGGGGGGGTGTGTGTGGGGGGGAAACTCCAGGAGGAACCAAAGCTGGTAAATGACTTCAGAGAGAGGGAGAGGAGAAGGGAATTAAAGAGGGGAGGGGGGTGTCGGCGGAGCGGGGCGCGCTGCTCCGGGCCGGGCCGGGCCGGGCCACCCCGCCGGGGCTCCGCCGCTCGCCCGCGGTCCCGCTCCTCGCTCCTCGCTCCTCGCTCCGGGGGCAGCACGGAGCGGTGGGAAAAGTTGGCCGGGAGCCTCGCCTCGGCGTGACAGCCGCGGAGGGTGGGGGGAGGAGGATCAAGGTGGGCAGCAAGGGAGGGAGACGCGGAAGGGCCGGGGGGACTTAGCGGGAAGCACATGGAGGCGGTGGGCCGGCGGCGGCGGGGCCGAGCCCCCCGGCTCCGGAGCGCGGGGCAGGTAGCCGGCCAGCTGCGCCCTGCCCGCCCCAGGTGCATCGCCGGCGGGGGAAAAGAGCTCTCCGAAGCGCGGGGCAAGGCAGAACCAGCTCGGCCGGGGCTAGAGGCAGGACGGGGGCTGCCGAGGGGCCGGGTGCGGGCGGGAGTGTCTGTCGGTGGCCGGGGGCGCCTGGAAAGCCGAGGCGGGGACCGGGGATGGAGTGCACGAAATGCGGGTCGGGCAGCGGCACCGGCTCGCCTGCGGGGCAGGAGTGGAGGCTGCACTTTGCTGAAGCTCCCATTGTAAGTGAAAATACACACATATACTCCCACCCGCCACCCCCCCCCCAAAAAAAAAAAAATAGGGAAGGAAAAAATAGAGGGGGGGAGGGAAAGAGGCATCCCCCCTCCCCCCAGCACCAGAATCCCCCTCCTCCCTGTTCCCACCCCTAAAGCTCCGGGAGAGGGGCGAGTGCCTGCAGGCAGAGTAGGGGGCAGGTCCCCGAGCGGGAGCCCCACTCCGCCGCTCCCGTCCCCGGGGGCCTGTGAGCGAGGCGGGGGAAATGCGGGGGCGCCTCCGGGGCGTGCGGCCCCCCGCGCTCCGCGCTGCTCCCACGCCTCCGGGGCACGGGGAACGGCCAGGTCAGGGGGGTCCCCGTTTCCCTCCTATAGCATAGGACAAGTTTAGGGGGTGGTAAAAAAACACCCGGCACGCCGTGGCCCCGCAGCCGGCAAGCCCGGCCGGACCCCTGTCCCCCCCCGCCCCGCAAGACGAGTCCGCAAGTTGTTGTGCTGCGGGGGGCGGCGGCTCGCACGGAGCCAGCCCGGGGCTGAGCCTGAGCCGCGGCGGATCCGAATATTTATGTTGAGATTTTAAAAAATTTAAATAAATAAATAAAATATTTCCCCGGCTTCTCTCCCCTCCCCTGAAAGGCAAGAATAGGAGCCATCTGCCAGGAGCATTTGGTGCTTGCGAGCTCCTCTCTTTCTTTGTTACCGGTGATAAATTTCTGTTTGTAAGATTTCCTTGGGAATCGAGATATATATGTATATATAATTTTTCCACCTCCTTTGGGATTTTCTTTTCATAGCGGAGGGCTGTTGGGGGACGAGTTGAGTTATGAAATATAAATTTCTTTCTCTGTTTCTATTTTTTTCATATATATTATATATATATATATGTATATATACACACACACACGTGTATATTATATATACATGCATATATAATATGTGTTTTTTAATGTGCGTCTTTATTTTTTAAAAAGTACCCCTCACCCCACCTCCAGCCCATCAGCTGGTGGAACCTTGATGAAGATGCATCTGGTATTCAGCTTTTTCTGGGGTGGGGGGGTTGTTTTTAATTCATTGTTATTTTGGAACCAGACTTGCATCACCATAAAAGGTGGATTCCCCCCTTCCTCAACTCCCTCCCCTTCGTTAATTACATTTTTGATTTTAACCATCCGGTTTGGAAAATGTCTTATCCTTTTTGTTGGTGGCTTATTATCCTCCCCCCCCCCCCCCCCCCCCCCTCGACCCTTTCTGTTTTTAAATTTTCTTTTTAAAAGAAAAAGTATCAACAGCCACCTAAATCGCCCAGTGTAATTTCTCCCACTTGTTTTCTGTCTCACTTGCGAGGAGATGTGGGGTGTTGAAAGGGGGTGTGCGGAAAATCTGTTTTGTTGCGCACGTCTGAATTTGTTTCAATGGGTGAAACATTTCTTTTCTCGCTGATGTTGCTGCTGGGGAGGGGGGGAAGGGGGGTGGAGAAGAGAGTCAGGTAGGTTTGTTATTCCAATTTGATCTCCTTTTCCGATCGCTTTACTTGAAGGTAAATAATGAGGCAGGGGAGTATTCAAAGGTGCCGAGGAGCTGCGTGTACAATGGGTTTAGCGGGAAGGCTGGGGGAGGAATGGAGAGCAGAGCAGTAAGAGCTTCCCTCCCTCCCCTCTTGTATTTATCTATCTCTCCATCCTGAGGAAGCTGGCGGAGAAATCAGGCTGCATACTGAACAGTGGCAGAAAAAAAATGAAGGTATCCAGGGGAAGGAGGTGGTGGGAGGCGGGGGGCGGGGGGGAGCTGCGTCGGGCTGGGGTTGGGGCTGGGGAGCAGGAGCGCAGGCATTTCAGCGCACAGGTCCAAGCCTCAGCTGCAGGCTTGCAGGAGAGGGGGTCGCAGTCTCTGCACTCCTCGGGAAGTGTCATTCGTGGGGGGAAAAGCAGCCAGGAAGTGTCCTCTCTAAAGGGGAGTTTGGAAAGTAGTGGGCAAACGGAATAGGAAACCAAAGCACTCCCAACAAAATAGAGTCAATCCCGAACCAAGCCCCCAAAGCCAGGATGAATTGATACTGTTTTCAGAAATCTTGCTTTTATGTTGTGTTTAGCTTGGGCTTTTTTGCCCTGTTTCCCTTTTTGGCATGTGTAAGGGGAGTTACATTTCAGGATGGATTGGAGGTCTCTGCCAGGCAAGGAAAGAGATGGGGAGAGAGATGGGGATAGAGACAGAGAGAGAGAGAAGGGTTTTCTGACACTGTTCAGCTGGAGTTTATTTGGTTTCATCCACTTGGTGTTTGCAGAAACGTTTAGATCCTGAGTGTAAGACAAACAAACTCAAAAAGGAGAGAAAGTGCAATGTAGCTGTGCTCCGGAGTTGCAGCATCTCATTAGCACAGTGGTCTTTAAGACTGCAAAACGAGTGGCCTGCCTGTGTTTGCCAGGCTCACCCAGGCAGCCTTGTAACCGTGCAGGACAAAAGAAAGAGGTGAAACACATGGAGAGAAAAAAAAGCAACTCTGGACCTTTCTTCACCGCTGGTGGACAGAGCAAACTTGGTAGCCAAGCTCATTTAAATGGGTGGACAATGCAAAAGAGCTGATTATGTATAGGAGAGGAGGCTGAAGTGTTGAGTTGCTCAGTGCAAAGAAATGTTATTTTGGTTTGGTTCAAATTGCTGATTTTCCAGCTTAAGATCTTCCATTTTTAACCTAAGAAATCTGTTTTCAAACTAGCCCTGCATTTTGCATTTGAAGGAAATGTGAAAGGCAAGAGCATGTGAAAAGCTCGCTGGTAGCAGTTTTGCAGAAGGCGGCAAAGCCAGAACATTTCTGTAGAGCAGCAGCAAAGATTCAGAGGGAAAGGCACAGAAAAATCATACAATTCCAGGCAGAGAACCAGGTTTCTCAAGACAGGTCTTCAGTACCTGGTCAACAGGTTTCCTAGGAAGAGCAATAATTTCCTGTATCACTTTGTTTTGTACGTAGTCATTAAAAATCATAACAAAAACCCTATGATTTTTTGCATGTCAAAGTTTTGCAAATTGCTCCAAGGAGCTTCTCTTAAAATGCATTTAGATTTAGTGCAATTAACATACTTTCCCTGCAGAACAAAACCCACACCAATGTAATCAACTCTAATACAAAGAGAATGTAAGCTGTGACTGAAGAATTAGAGAGGAAATTACTATTATTTTAAGGATGGATGACTTTTTCATAATACCTGCATGGCTGTGCACAGAAAAGCACAGCCTTTTAAAAGACATTACATGTGTTTACTTTAAATAGGACAGGGGGAAATAAAGGTTGCATGCTGTCGACTTCAGGTTGTCTTTCATTTGAATATATTTGTATTGGACTTACAAGATAAGTTAAAAAAAAATACTGGCACATTTTCATAGTTTCTCTTTTTTAAAAATGTTTTTAAAAACTGCTGCAGAGTAACTAGGTTGTGGCTGTGGGTTGTTCTGTCCTTTTTGGTTGGTGTGTCCGGTGGCTTAAATAGATGTACAGTGGGTGAGAAACCATTTTGCAGTTTTTTTCTGGTCGGCAGATGCAGAGCATATTTTGTCAGGCTTATTTAAATACCGAGAAATAAAACTCTTCAAGATTTCACAAACTGGCTGCCTTTAATAGAAATGGTGGGAACCCTTGGTTTGCACAAAATGTGTGTTTCTCTGCAGAACAAAGGGTTGTCTTGTGGCATATTTGGCAATAATTGTGACTTAGAAAAGTGTGCGCTCGAAGAAGTAGTACAAATTTTTGATATCATTTATAGACTCTGGTTGACTTCAGCTGCTCTTCCCAGGGCTGAGCTCACTGCGAGCAAACCCATGCTTCCAGTATGCCTCGCACACGATATTAGCTTGTCTCCCACATTTCCTACCTGCTTCTCTTTGCTCATTGTGTTGTTTGTTGATGGAAAATACTTTCCAAAATAAACTTCGCCGGCTGCCGGAGCCTGCCGTGTGCCCCGGCCGCCAGTGGCGGGGCTTGGCGACTAGGGGGAGCTCCCAGCCCGTGCGATGGCCGCGCCGGCCCCGCCGCGGGACGCGCGGGATGCGCCGCCGGAGCCCCCACCGCCGCGCCCGCCGCGCTCCGCGCCGCCAAACGCGCTCGGCGTAAAGTTGTAGTATTGATTTTCATGCGAAGATCTACGTAGAGCTAGCCGGGAGAGGCTGACAGCGAGACAAATCTATTTTTAACTAAATCGCGGCTGATTAATGGACTCGGGCGGACAGGAGTTTTTAATTAAAATTAGTTTT